CACAATACACCTTCTCCTCTAACATCATCCCTCCTACTGCACACTCTTCTTAATTGTCTGCCCCCTCCCCTTCATCTTCCTCCTGCTTCGTCCTTCTGCAGAACTTTTAAGTTGCCCTGTTTGCTTTGTGATTTCCCCCACTGCCCTTAAGAGTTAAGGAAGGACCTCTAAACATTGGTGACAGGAGTCGTAAAAGCTTGGTGGCTTAAAAATTATTGATAAGAGTTACCATGAGTTGATAACACGAATGATGACTTGGGTATCGCGCGCTCGCGGTGAGGGGCAGTCAGCCCGACCTGAGCCGGACAGGTGCGACCTTGGGGTTCAGCCAGCAGCTGGCACACTCTCACTGACAGGGGTCCACCTTGGGCTAATAAGTAGGCGGGGGCCACGGAAGCAGGGGCGAAAGCCACGCGGCGTGGGCTAAAGAAACTGCCAGTACCCGACCTTCACGTGGGCGTGGGCCGCCTGCGGCGGCAGCCAGGCCTCCAGTGACCTCGCTCTGCACTGAGGGTCAGGTCCGCGGAGGGTGCTTCCTATGAATGGCCACACACGCTCTGGCCACTACCACGCCTCGTCCTCGAGGCGATCTAGACTTCCTAAGGGTGACCCATCTGCTGGCTAACTTGCTGTCCTTGGATCTCGGATGCGGTATCCTTGGTGCATCTCTGTGGCTGCTCGTTCTGCGTCGTCCATCCTCGTTTTGGTCTGGTAATCCGTCGTCTCGCCATCCTCACGTCCTCGACTGATCTCGCGCAGATCCTCGCAGACATTCCTGGTAGTCCACGTAACAGGGTCAAACTCGGCGGCTTATTCGCCCTATTGCACGTCTCGCAATCTCGTCCTTTCTAGGCGGCACTGTACAGACGTCCCGTAATCTTCGTCAGGATCTACAGGCGTCCGGCTGGAGGGCGGCTGCTAACTGCCACTAATGAGCTCCTGGAGTTTGACTCCAGGCATCCAGGCAGGCCCGTCCACCAGCAGGCATAGGACGACGAACCCTAATGGCGAGCTCCTGCTTCGCTGGATCTCGGGTGTCCTGGCGAGCGGCGATCTCGATTACGTTTTCTAATGGCTTCGTAGGTGACGTTTCTGCCGCAGGGATCCTTCGGTGCCGTTCAGAAATCGGGAACCAGACAAAACACATATGGGCCAGAATGTGAGAGAAAGATAAAACGGCCAGAAGGTGTTAAATGCTACAAGCGATTTTGTGTTTCATAATTTGCAGTTTTTAAAGTTGAAAAAATTTTTTTCGTTTTTTCGGTCCCGTTTTTTTATATTTTTGTGTTCACAAAGTTAAAGTAAGTTAAAAGAAGGAAAATAGGAGAGGGGAGACGGTGATAACAATCCGCAAGGATCTCTTGAGCTACAATTGTCTCGGAGATAATGATTGATAAGCAAGGGAAAGCCTATTGTCATTCAGCAAGGAATTACTTGAACCATTTGTCGAAACCGAAAGAAAAGTATAGTGATTGGGACAGGTGTCCACTGGAATTAAGAGTGACACTCCATAGGAGTAGTGTTGCCAAGATGCTGAATAAGTTCATTCTAACATAAATGCGATTAATTATTTACAGAGTAATTCAAAATATTTCAAGTACCACATTGAATTTAAACATTTAAGATATGCGACAAAATGATGCATAATGAATGGTGATGTGCGATAAATTATTCGCAAGCCTCTCGCGAGCAAAATCATCTCGGAGATATCCCGAGGAAGTAGGTATGTCTTACGGTCATACAGACTTCATGACGGGGGGGGGGGGGGGGGACCCCCCCCCCCCCCCGTCAAATTGAAAGCGTTTGTATGACGGTTAAGACTTACTACTTTCATCGGATTATCTCCGAGATGATTTGCTCGGAAGAGGCTCTTGGCGAACTAATTTTCACTTCACCATTCATTAATGCATCATTTTGTTCGCATATCCTTAGAAATGATAAATTAATGTGGTACTATTGAATCATTTTGAATTACGTTGTAAATAATTAATCGCATTATTGTAGAATGAACTTTTATTCAGCATCTTGCAACACTACTGTATACGGGAGGTCACTCTTACTTTCTTTGACACCTTGGTCAATCACTTTACTATCTTTCGGTTTCGACAAATGGTTCAAGTAATTCCATTGCAGAATGACAATTGTCGTTTCCTTTGCTATCTCATTATCTCACGAGACAATGGTAGCTCAAGAGGATCTGCGGATTGTTATCCACCGTTCTCCCTCTCCTATTTTCTTCTTTTAACTTACTTAACTTTGTGAACACAAAATGAAAAAAAAAGACGAAAATAGCGAAAATAAAATTCAAACTTTAAAAAAACATGCAAATATTGAACAAAAAATCGGCTTGTAGCATTTCACACCTCTGTCGTTTATCTTTCTCTCACTTCTGGCCCATTATGTTTATTCTGGTTCCGATAGCTGAAACGGCACGAAGGTGTAGTCCTGCTGCAGCAAGGTCACCTGGAAGCCATAAGAAAAACGTCATCGGAGATCGCCCCCGCTCTCAGGACCCCGAGATCCAGCGGAAGGCAGGAAGCTCGCCAGAAGGAGGTTGTCGTCCTATGATTGCTGGTGGACGGGCTGCCTGGATGCCTGGGTCAAACTCCAGGAGCTCATTTTAGTGCAGTATCAGCCGCCTCCAGCCGGACGCTGTAGATCCTGACGGGAGATTACGAGGACGTTCAGTACGAGTGCGCGGACCTAGAAGGACGGAGATTGCGAGACGTGATTGGGGCGAATAAGCCGCCGAGTTTGACCTGTACTTGGACTACCCGGTGTCTGGGGCGAGGCTCTGCGGATGGATCAGTCGAGGACGTGAGGATGTCGAGAAACGAACGGATTACCAGGACCAAAACGAGGATGCACGCAGAACGAGCAGCACGGGAGATGCACAAGATACGCATCCGAGATCAGGACAAGCAAGTTAGGGCAGCCGGATGGGTCAACCTTGAGTGGAAGTCTAGATCGCCTCGCGTGACGAGGCCGTGGGTAGGTGGCAGAGCGGTGTGACATTCATAGGAGGCACCTGCCGCTGACCTGGACCCTCAGGTGACAGAGAGAGGTCAGCTTGGAGGCCTGGATGCCGCGCAGGCGGGCCACGCCCACGTGAAGGTCGGGTACTGCAGTTTCTTTAGCCACGCCGCTGTGGCTGCCCTGCTTCCGGTGGCCCCGCTTACTTATTCTCCAAGGTTGACCCTGTCAGTGAGAGTGTGCCTGCTGTGGCTGACCAGAGTCAGCACCTGTCGGGCTAAGGTCAGGGCTGACTGTCCCCCTCCCCGTGAGCGCGCGATACCCAAGTGTCATCATTGTGTTATCAAATCATGTGCTAACTCTATTAATAAAGGGTTTTAAGCCACCAAGCTTTACTACTCCCTGTCACAATGTTGAGAGTCCTTCCTTTAAACTCTTACAGGGCTGTGGCGGGAAAATCACAAAGCAAAAGGGCACTTAAAAGTTCTGCAGAAGGACGAGGAGCATGGGAAGATGACGGGGGAGGGGGCAGGACAATTAAGAAGAGTGTCGCAGTAGGATTGGATGATGTTAGGAGAGAGGAGAGGGAAGGGGTGTATTGTGAAGGTTTGGGTAATGATCCGGTTGGCTGATTAGAATGGGTTGAGTTTGATAGGCAAATATCAAGGAGGGGATGGGATATAAAAATCAGTGGTTGGCGCCATGGTCAAAGGAGAGGTAGGGGTCGGAGAAAGCAAGTGAAAAATAATTCAGGTAGCCTAATTGGTAAAGAAGGACAAGTTAATGACCCTAATATTGTATTAAGGAAAATGGTTGTTGGCCATGGTGCACCAGGAACTAAATGGCAAGAAAGAACGGCCTACCCTCAAGGGACGGGGGTCCACGCAAGGTAATTAACCAAGGGAATACTAAGCCCATGGCTCCGGAGGCAATTCATACTACCTGACACAAATGCCAGCCTTTCATCCTTTCAGAAACGGCTCTCACAATCTTGGGAAGCTGAGCAGAATATGGGGTGAAGAAAGAAAAGAGAGGGTGAATAAAAGTCTATGCAAAATTAATTGATGTAAGGGCTCAGAACCAGGTTGGAGGTTGTTCCTTACATTAGGCCTCAGTCTCGAATCCTAGCCATAGGGTACTGGATAACTGGTGTTGTTTGTACCTGCTTGGTTGCAGTGCTTACCAAGTGCTGGTTGTGGTTGATAATCTCGGTCTGTTGTTGATGAACTCTTGGGGTTTACTTTCAGATTAGCCTGGTTAAAACTGTTCTAGATTTAGAAACTTTTTTGTGTATATCAGTCAACCTATGGAGGACAAGTCAGTAGTACATTAATGTTTGGATGTAGATATTTTCTTAGGTTTTAATTGTCAGCATCTACTTCATTTCTTGTTGAATCAAAATATACACGAATATTGTCTCTTTTTATAATCACATAAAATCAGGTAAATCTAACATCTGATCATCAAGCTCACTAATGGCTTGCATTGCTACATGTGTGATCATCTCTTTGTCTATTTTTTTTTTTTTTTTATTTTAGAGCTAATGTTCGTGTATTACTTCTCTTGGGAAAAAAAATGTTATATCTTTAGCTTGCCAGTATTGCTTGCTAAAAATGTTCAATTTATTTGAACTAATGGGTTTATCAGAATCTTAAATTCCTCTTCTATAAGCAATTTAGCCTACTACATTCATAAAATGCCCATTTCTTACAAGTAACTCTGATGCAATTTATTTAGCAAGGCTCGAATCAGTTAAGGAAATCCATCTGATTTTTATATGGGAATTTGAAACTGAGATATCAATTATCGTGAAAATGTCTTTTTGAATTCATTGACCCCTAAAAACCTGAATAGGAACAATATCCCAGTCCCATTTCCCTGGATGCGAGTGGGTTTATCCAAGGTGCACAGCCATTTTGGCGGCCACCTGAATTATGAACATGGACGTAATGATGTGAAAACATAAATTTCTCTATTGACTTCCTTGACCCCAAAAACAATTTAGATTAGACCCCAATATTTCTCTC